GTCGCTGTTTCTACGCACCGACACCTCGCTGCTGCCGTTCTACGTCCTAGTGTACGTCGACGACCTCGTCTTTGCCACTGCTGACACTGAGGCACTGACCCTTGTGAAGTCGGAGCTGCAGAAGAGACACACCTGCACTGACCTGGGTGAACTGCGCAGCTATCTTGGCCTACAGATCACCCGGGACAGAGCACGGCGCACCATCACACTGACTCAGTCACACATGGTGCACCAGGTCCTTCAGCGCTTCTGCTTCCAGTAATCCTAGCCACAGCTCACTCCTCTGTCTACCAGCCGCTCGCTCTCAGCTCCACCTTCGGACGAGTCCGTAGAGCCGAGTGGTCCGTACCCAGAGCTTGTGGGTTGCCTCATGTACCTGATGACGTGCACTCGACCCGACCTCGCGTACCCTCTCAGCCTCCTGGCTCGTTACATGGCTCCCGGCAGGCACCGAAAGGTGCACTGGGATGCTGCGAAGAGGGTACTGCGTTACTTGTGCAGTACGTCAGGCATGGGGCTCGTGCTTGGAGGACGGGGTCCAGTTGTCCTCACCGGTCACGCAGACGCCTCTTGGGTTGACGACTCAGCTACGCAGCGGTCGTCACAGGGTTACACCTTCAGCCTCGGTTCCGGCTCCGTTTCTTGGTGGTCTACCCGCTCGTCTTCGGTTCTCAGCTCCAGTTGTGAGGCTGAGATCTACGCCGGGGCCATGGCTGCTCAGGAGCTACGGTGGCTCACCTACCTGCTGACCGACTTGGGAGAGCGGCCTCGTTCGCCACCAGTTCTGTACGTAGACAACAAGGCCATGATTGCCTTGTGTCAGGAGCACAGTCCGGAGCACAGAACGAAGCACATAGCTCTGCGATACTTCCTTGCTCGTGAATTGCAGCAGCGTGGCCAGCTTCGTCTTGCGTACATGGCCACTCGGGCCAACACTGCTAATGTCTTCACCAAGGCACTTCCGCTTGGTGATCATCAGCGCTTTGTTACTGTGTTAGGCCTTGTGCCTACTTTGCCTGACTTGCTTACTGCCTGACTCTGCTTGTACTGTGATCTATATGTATACCTGCATGCTTGTACTTGCTAGGGTATGATCACTGTATTGTATGATCACTGAACTCTGCATGTGAACTGGCCTTGTGGCCCTTTGCTTGTGCTCGGACTGTGTGGTGACTTTGTGATCCACCCTGAGCTTGCTTTGCTTTGTTTCTTCTCTTGACTGGTCTTGTGACCATTGCTTGCTCTTGCTATCCCCCACTTCGCCTATGGGGGTGTGTCAAACATATGTGTTTATATATCTCTAGGCTGTAGTGGGTTTAGCCTTAGGGGGTACATAATTTCTCTCGACATTCTACTTGTACCCCCCCCTTTCACCTAATCAATCATTCTCGTCACTTATTCTCACAGATGTGTCTGCTCTTGACTGTTTCCACCCTGTTCTGATTGCTGTAGTGTTTCCATGTGTGGCAGGCAACATCCGCAAGCCACCTCCAGAGCTGACGCTCAAGTGGATCTCCAAGGCCTGGAAGGCCGTGCCCAAGGAGTTGATTCAGCGCTCGTTTCTCACCTGTGGCATCAGCAACGCCCTGGATGGGTCCCAGGACAATCTCTGCATGCAGCACTGGCGGGACGCCGTCAAGGTAGAACTTGACGACGAGATTGCAACAGATGGATTCTTCTGCAACAACGTAGAGGAGCCAGAGTCGGACCGGGAGGCTGACCAAGATGGCTCCGCCACTGTTGATGGTGATGCATAGGATGCTAGGAAGAAAAGAATGCATAGGATGCTAGAGAAGGTCAGTGAATGTTGCGGTAAACTATCAGTAGGATTTAGTACCGTAGTAGAATTGGAAAAATATTATGTTGTAGTGAAAATAGCTTGTAAAAGATAGGATAATAATATTCGGAATAAAAAAGGGAGGCGCTTATAATGTGTCATAATACAGGGGTGCGCTTATAATCCGTAAGCATCCAGGTGTTCGCTTATAATCGAGGACCGGATATAAGCGCCATCACCCTTTTACAACCGCCGGCGCTTATCCGAGGCCTGCGCTTCTATCCGGGGGCTTACGGTACTGTTTGTTCTCTTTTATATAACTCTGCATGTGAACTGGCCTTGTGGCCATTTGTTTGTGCTCGGAATGTGTGGTGACTTCGTGATCCACCCTGAGCTTGCTTTACTTTTCTTGACTGGTCTTGTGACCACTTGTTCTCCCCCACTTTGCTTATGGGGGTGTGTCAAATTTTTATAATGCTTACATTGTGTAGGCTGTAGTGGGGTATAGCCCATAAAGGGTACAACCCAATTAGGGTCAGTACTTGTACCCAACTTTTTGTTCAATGCATTCATTCTCGTTCAGTATTCTGACACATTGCTCCCGCCATTGTACACCTCGCGACCCAACCTCACGGTTCGGTGGGTAACCCGTGCTACGGTCCTCCGCCTCGGCATTTCCCAACCTCTGCGTTAGGCCCGTCGCGCACCACATTGTCGCGCATGACCGTTACTACGCCAGGCTATTGTTCGCTTATTCCTTCGCTCATTGTACTCTTGCTTCGATAATGCTATTCTCGCTCGCTCACTCTATTGCACTCGTAACACTGGGTCAAACCCTACTTGCATGCAGGGCCTCAGATATTAGGAAAAAAACCCTGAAATTCCTGATTTTGGCAGTCCTTTTTTTACCTACACTGAAAAATCAGTGTTGATATTTTTGTGGGACTGATCTTTCAGCCTTTTTTGTTAGGCCACACTGAAATTTCAGACTTTTTTTCCCAAGTAGACTGATTCCAGAACGTTGTAACGAAACTAACACTGAAACCAATTCTTACTTGTTCCGTGTGGATTTGCCCGCGATTACAGGGAATCTCAAATTCCTGCGGTGCCAGCACTCCATTGGGCAGTTTCACTCCAGCATAAAGCGTTGGCTAATTGGAATGTGGCAACCATGTGGTGCTTGAGGGCTGCGAGGGTTCCTACACCGTTGTCTGTGCTGGCAAGCATTGATGCTCCCATTCCCTCCAATCCAGTCTCTCGTCTTACTTTTCCTCCTGTTTCTCTCTCCCTCCCTCTCAGCCCGATTCCTCTCGTGCTTTCTCATCTGCACTAATACATGGTGCCATCAGCAGCAGAAACGGCAGGCTGTTGGGAATCGAACCCATCGCGAGCGCCGCCGAACCTCTTCTTGTCTCGCCAAACACATCGCTCCCGTTCGACGCGATCCGCAGCGCATGCTGCGAGATGGTCATCGGCCACGTGGCAATTCCCGTCGGTGTCGTAGGCCCGCTACGACTCGACGACGCGTAGTTTTTCGTGCTAATGACGACGACCGAAGGCTGCCTCGTCGCCAGCACGAACCGCAGTTGAAAGGCCATCTGCGTCGCGGGCGGTGCGCAGAGCATCGTGCTGCGCAACGGCATGACCCGTGCATGACCCGCGTGCCTGCCGTCCATTCCCCCGCTCCCTTTACCCCACACTCCGTCCACTCCCTCTCTCCCCCGGTCGTCTCCCCCCCAACCGCGCTAGTCTTCCCTCCTCTCTCCCTCCTTTTCTCTCTTTCCCTGCCTCACCCTGCCTGTCAATCCGGTTCCTCCCCCCAACCCTGCCCCTGCAGCTTCAACGTGTAAGTGTCACAAGCAGAAGTGAAGCCGGGGTGTGTGTGTCAAAAAGCACTATCATGTACTGGTGTCCCAAGCTGAGGAGGAGAGAGGACCAAAGGCTAAGGGCAGTGATGATAGCACGGCTGGTGATGATTCATGAGGCATGTAAGCTTAGCAATGTTTCGGAAGGCTGCTACTGACTTAGTACATAAAATAGAGATTTCTAATTATAACAGCCTTTTATATTATTGAACACTGATGCATCAGCCTTTTTTCAAAGGCAACACTGATATTTCAGGCTCTTTTTTTAAGGAACACAGTCAATCAGGGTTTCTACACAAGGGTACCCTGATGGGTCGACGACCCTAAAAGTGAATCTGAGGCCCTGCTTGCATGGTGTACGCTGAGGTTGAAACTAGGACTTAAGATTTAGTAATTCCTTGTGTTTCATTACCATGAAAAAAAATATGGTGTGGTAATTTCTTGGGGATTATGGTGCCAGCAGCAGTGGCAGTCCCATATGCCTGATATTATGATGTACAACAATTTCTGTGGTAACCACTACAACCAAGCAGTCATTGCTGAGCAAGCACATCCTGCTGGAAACAAATAAATCTGGAAAATATCAAGGGAAACCAAAATGGCCCATCAGCAGCATGATGTTTGCTGCTGTACTGCAGACCTAGATTTAGGTTGTCTATTTCCATTTGCCTACGGGAAGCACCTGTGCAGTGAACCGAGCTGAGCCGACTGGCACAGGCTGGAAGAGGAGCATCTTGTACGTGAGCATGTGAGCATGTGAGCTGTTTTTCCCAACGTGACTTCGCAGGAGAAAACCAGACCTCCGGCATCTCATCCTGCAGCTTCTCCTCCTCAACTCCCGGACCTTCATATCGCCCTCTTCTTGCCATGCACGCCCCCCACGCCCTCTTCTTCATATCGCCCTCTTCTTCATATCACCCTCTTCTTCATATCGCACTCATTCTACATTCCATGCACGCCCCCCCCCCCCACCTCTGTCCATTGTCCCCTTTCTACATAGCCTAAACGCAGGGGTGCTCTGACCTGAACATGTCTCCTCCAATCCCACATGAATGGGGTGTGTATGTGTGTGGTCACTCAAACCACGTGTACCTTGCTGTGTCGGCGAGTTGTAACCCGTAACCTGCTCCGGATGGCGCATATACCACACTAGAACCACGTCGACTGTGGTGCTACTGTATCTGCACTGTGGAGAGTTGCCTGCCTCTGTGTGGGTTGGGTGTAGACCAAGAAAAGATAGCAGTCTGGTTCTAAGGCTTTGGGTCGAGTTGAGGCCAAGGCTTGTTGGGATGTGCCTCTGTGGGCTCGGGTGGAGTAAACTCATGCGAGTTGTTCCCTCCAGCTACCAATTCAAGAGGTTATGGGGAGAGGAGGGTGATGGCGATGCTGACAGCTACCAGTAGCCCTGTTGTCCACGTCATCGCACTGGCGAATACCAACGGGTCCACACGCAGCCACGTAGGCACTGCCTGTACAGGTGGCTCCAGCACCACCTTCTGACCTGGACCAATCAGAGCCACCGGATCTGCTCCTGTTGTTCGGCTAGCTGCCTGCCGTTGTGTTGTTCCTCTATTCCGATCCACCTCTACAGCCACGGCTGGTGCAGCAGCAGTTGCAGTGGCAGTGGTAGTGGTGGCGGTGGTGGTGGTGGTGGCGGGGGTGGCAGCAGCAGCGGCAGCAGCAGCAGCAGCAGCATCAGCAGCAGCAGTAAGAGGTTCTGTCTCACTCCCCCCCCCCTCCTCACTCACACTCCCACTGTCACTCTCCGAATCCACCACCACTCGAGCGCCCTCTACAATCACATCCCCCTCCCGCCCCACCTCCCCAGCAGCGCCATCCGGCATCTGCTTATAAGCACCCGCCCCTTCCATATCACTCTCCATTACTCCCGCTCCTCCTTCAGACGAATTCGGCGAGTGCTTGGGAGAAAGAGCAGCAATCACATTCTGAATCAGCCCCACAAGGCTTCTATCGGCGCTGGAGGAGCTTCGGAGCGGTGTGGAGGTGTGTGGAGTGGTGGAGAGGGGCGTGGAGGAGGGAGGGGAGGAGGAGACGAGGAGGTAGCCCCGGGACTCGAGCTCTTCGGGGGTGGGGTAGGTGACGAGGGCAGCACGGAAGAGGAGTGTTGGGACGACGAGGTTGATGAATCCCTGGCAGATGATGGCCACCCAGTTGCAGAACTGGACTAGCACCTGAAGAAATGGGGTTGGGGAAGGGGAGATGGGAGAGCGAGGGAGAGAGAGTGGAGGGATGCAGAGGGATGCATAGGGATGCAGAGGCCAAGTGTTACTGGCAGCTTTTACGAGGTTGATGAATCCCTGGCAGATGATGGCCACCCAGTTGCAGAACTGCACTAGAACCTGAAGGGATGGAGAGGGGTGCAGAGGGATAGTGAGCATGGGTTAGGGGTTGCTGGGACGACGAGGTTGATGAATCCCTGGCAGATGATGGCCACCCAGTTGCACACCTGCACGAGCACCTGAAGGATGCAGAAAGGTGTGGGGAGCCACGTGTAAAAAGTGAGTTTTGAGACGTCTCAAAAACTCACCTTTTACAGTTTTACTGGACGAGCACCCGAAGGATGCAGAGAGGTGTGGGGAGCAAGAAAGAGGGAGTGGAGGAAAGGAATTGCAAACAGGGGAGGGATGGTACAACCGCCCAGAAGAAGGCGGCAGAGTCGGAGAAGACCACATGACTGGCTGTGTCTCAGCTCAGCTTAACCCCACATGACTGGCTGTGTTTCAGCTCAGCTTAACCCCACATGACTGGCTGTGTCTCACCTGGGCTTGGTAGAAGAATGCAGTGAGTAACCATGGCGCTACAACCGCCCAGAAGAAGGCGGCTGAATCGGAGAAGAGGCCTGAAGACTGCAGGTTGTAGCGGACCATGATGGCCAGGATGGGGATCCCCGGGATGTAGCCGAAAAAGCCCCACATGTACACTGAAAACTCTGTTGCTGGGGCCACCTGTAGTGGATAGAAAAGTGGGGCAGGGAGAGGGGTGGGGAGGGGTGCTGTTGGGTTTGAGAGACCCGGGATGTAGCCAAAGAAGCCCCACATGTAGACCGAGAACTCTGATGCTGGGGCCACCTGTAGCACAGGGGAAGGCCACATGGGGAAGGCCACATGCTGAGGCTACACCACGGTGCACACTGATTGCCAGTGATACATTGCAAGAGAGGCGTCTCACATGGGGATGGCCGCACGCGGTGGCAGGCCTGGCCGTCCAGCATGTTGTCCGTGCCCTTCAGCGTAACAGCGTTTCCCTCTCTTGCACTATAAGTGAAGTCCCTTGGGACTATAAGTGAAGTCCCTTGGGACTATAAGGGAAGTCCCTTGGGACTATAAGGGAAGTCCCTTGGGACTATAAGTGATACAGTACATTGCAAGGTGAGCTTCTCACATGGGGATGGCCGCACGCGGTGGCGGCATCGGCTTGCCCATCCAGCATGTTGAGCATGTTGTCTGTGCCCTTGAATGGGTGGCCGGCGTCGTCCACTAGCTTGTACGCCCATGCTCCTAGCAGGCCTGTGGAGTGCAGGGCAAATCAAGGGGCACAGGCCGTAGAGGGGGATAGGGCGTAGGGGGAATACAAGCATGTTTGTCACGTGGTTTGATGTAAATGGGTGGCCTGCGTCGTCCACTAGCTTGTACGCCCACGTGCCTAGGAGGACTGCTGGGTACAGTGCAATGAACAGGGGTATAGGGAAACGTGGTCAAAGAGGGGCACAGGGGTACAGATGGGCACAGAAGCATAGAGGGGCACCAGTGTATGGGGCCACAGGGAGGGGGCATGTTGAGCGATCTTAAGACATCTGAGTTATGCAATTCTTAATATCACGGTAACCGCATGGCTTTAAGTACAGCTAAGGTACAGCTGGCAGCGGCAGGCACATCGGCCTTGTTGGCTCTTGGATATGGCTGGCAACTGTGTAATTTTATTATTATTATTCAACTCTGCAAAATCTGTTGTCACAGGCAACTGTGTGTGTGGCTTACCAAGTAAGATGTTGAGGGCACAGCTGACGGAAGCAGGCGGCTCGGTTGACACATCTCTAAGTCGACGTAACACTGTGTACCAGTGTATTAATGTATCACTGTAGAATTGTAACAGTTTGACATTGTGCGATTGAGTGTGGCTTACCAAGTAGGATATTGAGGGCGCATCCGACAGAAGCAGGCAGCCAGATGGCTCGGTTGACATTGACACCTGGCTTCTTCTCATTGGCCCACGAGGGGATGGTGCTGACGTACGAGTATGCAAAGACGCACACCCCGAGCACCTGGTCAGAGGGAACAAGGAGGAGTGGGGGAGAGGGGGAATGAGCTATGGAGGAGAGGTGGGGTTTCCAACACACACACTTCTTCACCATGTTTATATCGAGTACAGCCCTCACTGGACGCATATCGAGTAAAGCCCTCACTGGACGCATATCGAGTAAAGCCCTCACTGGACGCATATCGAGTAAAGCCCTCACTGGACGCATATCGAGTAAAGCCCTCACTGGACGCATATCGAGTACAACCCTCACCCGGCTTATCGAGTCCCAGAAAAGGGTGTTCTCCCCGGCCCATTCCCAGGGCAGTAGTTGGGGGACCCAGGGAGGGGGTTGGAGAGGAACTGGGCGGCGAACTCAAAGGAAAAGAGCAGCTGGGGAGGAGAGCATGGAGCAACCCTTTACCTGGCTAATATCGAGTCCGAGGAAGGGTGTTCTCCCTGGCCCATTCCCAGGGCAGTAGTTGGGTGAACCAGGGAGGAGGTTGGAGAGGAACTGGGCGGCGAATTCAAAGGAGAAGTGCAGCTGGGCGAGCATTGGGGAAACTGGAGAGCATGGAGCAACCCTTTACCTGGCTAATATCGAGTCCGAGGAAGGGTGTTCTCCCTGGCCCATTCCCAGGGCAGTAGTTGGGTGAGCCAGGGAGGAGGTTGGAGAGGAACTGGGCGGCGAACTCAAAGGAGAAGAGCAGCTGGGCGAGCATTGAGAGCCATTGGAAGCCCATGTTGTCGTCGAGGTTGAGGCGGGCGAAGGGGATGCAGACTGTCATTGCGAGAACAAAGCTGAGAGGGGGAGAGGAGACGGGGAGAGACGGAGGGAGCAGAGGAATCGGCACACAGGTGAGCAGGTGGGCGAGCATTGAGAGCCACTGGAAGGGAAGCCCATGTTGTAGTCCAGGTTGGGGCGAGCAAAGGGGATGCAGACTGTCATTGCCAGGACGAAGCTGAGAGAGGAGATGGGAAGGAGCCGGGAGAGGAACAGGGACAGGTGGAGGGAGTAAAGAGCACAAGAATTGAGATGTCTCGACACGTGAGGGAGCAAAGACAGACAAGGGTCGAACTCAAAGGAGAAGAGCAGCTGAGCAAGCATGGAGAGGCACTGGAAGCCCATGTTGTCGTCGAGGTTGAGGCAGGCGAATGGAATGCAGACTGTCATTGCGAGGACGAAGCTGAAGGAACACAGAAGGGAGAGAGGGATGGGGATGGGAGAGGGGGAGATGAGACGAGCAGCTGGGCGAGCATGGAGAGGCACTGGAAGCCCATGTTGTCGTCGAGGTTGAGGCGGGCGAATGGAATGCAGACTGTCATTGCGAGGACGAAGCTGAAGGAACACAGAAGGGAGAGAGGGATGGGGATGGGAGAGGGGGAGATGAGACGAGCAGCTGGGCGAGCATGGAGAGGCACTGGAAGCCCATGTTGTCGTCGAGGTTGAGACGAGAAAAGGGGATGCACACTGTCATTGCGAGTACGAATCTGAGTGAAAATGGAGATGGGACAGATGCAGGGAGGAGAGTAGTCAGCACACAGGTGAGCAACTGGGCGAGCATTGAGAGAGGCAGTGGAAGCCCATGTTGTCGTCTAGATTGAGGCGAGCAAAGGGGATGCAGACTGTCATTGCCAGGACGAAGCTGCAGTGGAGATGGGGAGAGATGGAGAGAGAGGAAGGAACGGGGACAGGTCGGGGGGAGAGGAAGGAACGGGGACAGGTGGAGGGATCAAGAGCATGTTTCTTAAAAAAAAAATCGCAGAGCCTGGTGTGGTACTAGCAGGTGGGCGAGCATGCAAGGGAAAGGGGATGGAGACTGGCACTGCCGGGACGCAGCTGGGCGACCGAGAAGAGGCTAGGGAGAGAGGAATAGGATTGTCGAGAAGCACGGGCGACTGGTGTGATACTAGCAGGTGGGCGAGCATGCAAGGGAAAGGGGATGCAGACTGGCACTGCCAGGACGCAGCTGGGCGACCGAGAAGAGGCTAGGGAGAGAGGAATAGGATTGTCGAGAAGCACGGGCGACTGGTGTGATACTTGACTGGTGTTGATTGTACTGAAGCACGAGTGACTGGTGTTGATTGTACTGAATCACGAGTGACTGGTGTGATACTAGCAGGTGGGCGAGCATGCAAGGGAAAGGTGGGGGTCGATTCTGAATGCACGAGCCTTGTCCAGCTTCGTGCTGTTAGGCTAAACCCTGAATGTCGAGCCCGAAACCCACTGATCCCACTGACCTGATGCAGGACAGCACAGTTAACACTAGTCCAGGCATTCGCATCTTCCCCTTTCTGATTCGGTCTGTCACTCTAATTGACTGAATGGGGATCTGGGTTCAGGGTTTCCATCTCCCGTCCTCAAGTCAACCCCTCCTTTCTCTATCTCTCTCTGATTCCAGTGCTTGCGCCCACTCTCCCCATCACCTCACGCTCACTCACTCACATTCTCACTCACTCACCCCAGGGAGATCACTGATCGGTTGCAGTCACCGCTGCTGGTGCTCCCCCACGCGCACACATTCCCCCCCCCCCTGGCCCGCCTTCCAGACGTTCCAGACCTCCCAACTCCCTTCTCCTCTCTCACTCACCCCAGGGAGATCACTGATCGGTTGCAGTCACCGCTGCTGGTGCTGGTGGTTCCGCAAGCGCACACATTCCCCCCCTCCCCCTCCCTCCTTCCCCTGACCTTTCTTCCAGACCTCCCAACCCCGTTCTCCTCACTCACTCACCCCAGGGAGATCACTGATCGGTTGAAGTCACCGCTGCTGGTGCTGGTGGTTCCGCAAGCGCACACATTCCCCCCCTCCCCCTCCCTCCTTCCCCTGACCTTTCTTCCAGACCTCCCAACCCCCTTTTCCTCACTCACTCACCCCAGGGAGATCACTGATCGGTTGCAGTCACCGCTGCTGGTTGTCCCCCAAGCGCACACATTCCCTCCCGCGCCCCCCGTTGCAAGGGATTCGATAAATGCGGGCGGCCACTGGCTGTAGTCCATGCCAAACGACGTGCCTGCTAGTCGATACACCACCGAGTCTAGGACCTGCATGTGTGTGCGTGTGGGTGTGGGTGTGGGTGTGGAGGTGGGGTGAGGAAAGGTGATTGGCCACTGCCTGTAGTCCATGCCAAACGACGTGCCGGCTAGGCGGTATACCACCGAGTCTAGGACCTGCAAGGGTGTGTGTGTGGGTGTGGGTGGGTGCGGGTGTGGGTGTGGAGGTGGGGTGAGGAAAGGAGATTGGCCACTGGCCGTAGTTAATGCCAAACGACGTGCCGGCTAGGCAGTATACCACTGAGTCTAGCACCTGCGAGGGTGTGTACAAGCAGGAAAGAGTTGGGTACAACCACCGGGGGGTAATTGATTAAACACGAGAGGAGCGCGCTGCCTGTAGTCCATGCCAAACGACGTGCCGGCTAGTCGGTATACCACCGAGTCTAGGACCTGTGTGTGGGTGTGGTGGAGGTGGGGGGGGGGAAGGTGCACCGTGCACGTGCATGGGGGGGTGGGGCGAGGTGGGTACAAGTGGTGATAACACAAATGCGGGCGGCCACTGCCCGTTGTTTCATGCCATACGAGACATTCGGTATACCACTCTAGCAACTGTGTGAGTGTGAGGAAGGGGAACGGAGGGGGGGAGGGGTGGAAAGAGTAACAATTTATTTCACTAAGAAAAGGCCGAGACCGTTACAGCCTGCTGTGCTGGTAGATGTTCCTAGGGTGAATCCTTTGAGAATCATGAGGTGCCTCTCATAACGATAACTTACATGTGAATAGAAACCACCCATAGGGTTCATACAGTTCATGCAGAATGGGTTTAATGTGTTCTTATTTTCTGTTCTTTTTTCACTGTACCTGCGATGTAACAATCATGGACGCGATATTCGACGCGAGCAGCCCCGCGTTGAACCCAATCTGCGCGAGCGCGTACCACCGATCGCCGAAATAATGCCGCACGAGCGTGCAGTACTCGAAGCGCCTCGCGAAACCCTTGTTACCCGGAATTCGCTGCTGCGCCTCGCACATCATCGTGGCCGCGAACGACGAAAACAGCCACATGAGCGTGAGCCCGGCAGTTGGCAAAAACCATCCCGCTTGTGCGTATAGCAACGGGAGAACCACGACCGCTGGTCCCGTGATATTATTGAAGTTGAGAACGCAAGATCTGACGGTGTGGATGGGTAGGAGGAGTGGGTGGGAGTGGGATGGGACTGGGTATAAGGGGTAACAGCAGCAGTGAAAGGTACAGAATCGAGCACGTGTGTTTCTAGGATGCAGAACAGGTAGGATGGGGGGGAAAAACACCATCCTCCTCGCTTTCTCTTTCCTTGCCCTATCGTTTCTCCCCTTCCCCTCCTCCCCCTTACCCCTTTTCCCCCTCCCTTTCCTCTCTTCCTGTCCCGATCCGATTTAAGGTTGGCACATAGCGACTGGAAGGCGAAGTTCACGACGTAAACGAATTGAATCCACGGACGTGGAGAGAAAGGGAGCGTTGGGTGGGGGATGGAGTTTTTACCGAATCTGTGCTGATGGTGCAGGTGCTGCTCATGCCCTTAATTCCGGAAACAGAGGCCCCTCGTCTCGCCCTCAAACCATCCGCTCACCTCAACTCGTCTACTCACCCCACCTCGTCCACGTCAACCCCAACCCGTTCATCCACTCACCCCAACTCATCCATCAACCCATCCATCTGCTCACCCCCAGAACGTGATGGTTTTATCGCCGAAGCCGTGATGGTGGTGGTGCAGGTGCTGCTCGTGCCCGCCCTGCAGGTTACACTCGCTCCGCTCGCGCGGCAGCAGCGCCTCTGCACGCGCTGCCGCCATGTCGGGGGAAGCTCTGGGAGGTTGGCAACGGGTGAAGGGCGGGTGGGGAAGCGGAGGGAGGAAATGGAGGGGGGAGCGGAAGGAGAGGGGTGGAAGGGAGAGGGAGGGGGGAAAGAGGGGGGGAGGAGAGGGAGCAATGGATTGGCCGATTCCCATTGCTCGCGGCGGCTGCCACGTCAGAGGAAGCTCTTGCGGAAGGGAGGAGGAGACAAGCGCGACAATCCAGGGAAAACAGGCAACGGTACGCGGGTCCGACGACTCGATTCGCTCCGCTCGCGCGGTATCACCGCTCTACGCGGACTATTGTTATGTCCTTATCGGGGGGGTGCTCGGAAGAATGGGAAGAGGAAATTGGAAAGAGTTGCGCAATCGGGCAACGGGGCGGAGGGGAGAGATGGGACGCGGGTTCGGTGAGGGGAGGGGAGAGGAGTGTCAAACGGAGTGTGGGAAAACGAAGGAAATCGGAGGGGAGACGAGGAGCCGACGTATGAGCTGCGAGAAGCGATTTTTTCTGATAGAGCCGGGACGCTGATAGTTTCGCTGTGCGCTATTCGTTACTGATTCACTCGTGGATGTTGTATAGGCCGATTCTGGCAAGCCGATGATATTGAAGCTTGGCTAGTGGGGAAATGCTAGTTCAGGGATTCTCGTCTAGCGGGGACACTGAGGGGAAGCGTAATCCGCCACGTGGATGATTTCCCGTTGTGAGAGAGTGGTCAGAGTGGTAAGGATGGGTCACCTGTATCCATAATCCGAGCGGAATGTCCCTTTCCTCGCGAGGCCGTCTTTCATGTTCGCCATGCTCACTGACTTGGGATCCTCCGAGCTTTCCTGCTCAGTATCGCCGGCGCTGGACGAAGCTGTAACTGTTACTGCGCGAGATCGGCGACGAGCAAGTGCTTGAGAATCGGCGGGCCTACTGGCGAGTGCTATGGATGCGGGACCTATACTGCCGATCTTTAAGCTATTGCGAAGAAGTGATATGGGCGTGACAAGTAACTTTCGTATGTTGGAGGAGAAAGACGCGACTACCTGGGCCATGAAAGCTGCATTGCCATCTTGTCTCACTGCAGAATGTATTGATTCGTGAGTGAACGGCTTGAGAAGGCCCAGCACATGGGTCGCTCCTACCAGATTACCGAACCACAACAGCAGAGTTGGAAGAAGCGAAGGAAGCCAAGGCAACAAGAGGAGGAGAACGAATGGGCCAGAACGACGGAGACAACCGAACTTCGCGCTTCAGGAATGTGGGGATTTTCTTCTGCGAACAGTGTGCGAATTTCGTGAACTTTGTTTCCGTTGTTTGGGGGGTCAGGTAAGGATGACTGCAGCGGGCTGGTTCAAGTGGAAGGCTGGTTGGCGGGCTGCCTTGGCTCGGATGTTTGGCAGGATGCAAGAAAGGGCGGCTCGGAATTGCCATAGTCCATACGTTCTGTTGACTGCTGGCCGACTGGTTACCAGCAGGTTGGGGTGGTTGGGGCCAGGGAAATTTCTATTGGTGAACGTGTCCAAAGCGCGTGTACTCCGTCCGCGTTGGCATTGAATGACTCGTCACCTTCAAGGCCCGCCCCTGCAAGTCCAACCTGAGGGGGAAGGACAAGGTTTGATCTCGTGGTTCGGGAAGAAACTCGGGTGCCCGAAGTTCCCGCGTTTTTGGAGGAAAACAGCTGTGGCAGACCAGACAGTGTCACATCAAGAACGAAAGCAGCACTCATCTCATCCGAACCGAGAGGTCCTCCGTCCACCGTCGACCCACGCCGTTCATTCGGGGTCCTATGCTGCGTCAGAACGAGGGAGCATGTGTTGCTCTTGGCCCTGACCGACCGAGACGCGTAGGACTTCTGGCTGGAAATTCTGTGCATCGTATCTGGACAAGCTTCACCCTTGTGAATCAGATGCTTACTGTTATTCCTCGCTAGGGCGTAACTCGTTTCTCTCCTTCACGAAACCGGGTTTGAGCCCATGCCCCAAATCCACTAGACTACGTGGTTGTCTTTTCAATCTAAGAATAAATATAGGTTGCCGTTTCTCTGCACTGCTGATATTGATGGGTATACTTTAGGAAAATGTTTCTGTGAATTACTTGGGAAATTTGAGTATTTGTCAAGAATACGGTGCTCTGAATCCTCAAACTAGCCTTGTTGCATTCTCCTGTCGTAAAACTTGTATTATCATATCACAAAATTTGAATTTAACGCAATGAACAAGTCACAGTAAAAATAGTAACCAAGATGTTCAGGATCAACCTATAAGATCCAAATTGTTGAGAATATGTTTGTATGCTTTTATTATAAGTGCACTGTTCGAAGTGTGCTTACAGGGGCTCGCCACAGCGAGGGATTTGAACCTGGTGGCGAGTCAACGGGCCGCAACCGAAAACAGCGGTTGCGACCCGCGTGGCAGCTCAAGAGTCGAATCGACAGCAGGAGTCATCGTCTACAGTACGCGAAACCGACCTGTGGGGCGCGGCAGGATACCGCGCCCTTGCCGAAGCTGAAAAGTCTCGCCAGTGCGACTGTAACAAGGCAACCCAAGCGACGCAGCGCAACTGTTATACAGTTGCGCCTTGGTAACTGTTTGCCCTATGCGTTTGCTATATAACAGAATGTAATGCCTTGCTCATATTACACAATTCTCAAGCTTGTGTCCGGCCTACCCTCGGCCGCTGCTTTGGCACCACGTTACAAGCCAGGAGAGCTACCTCTGAGTGACCAATAGCCCCGCCGTAGGGACGTCGTTAATTCCTAGAGCTTCCGCTGCGCTCTAGCGACTTCTTATTTCCAACACAAATGACTTAGCTGACCGACTGACACCTAAGTCATTCATTTCTACACCTAACCCTTACAGATAATCTACTAGTTAAAAACCCTACAAGTTACACAGTAACTAACCAGTCACCTGTTCCCCTACCATCCCCAGACAAGCCTACAAAAGTTCCATACTCCAGTATATCTCAACGTTTTCCTTCCCTCCCTTCACTCCAACCGAAACACACCTCGTCTCATCCCTTCTCTGTCCTCACTAAATGTGGTCTGTCTCATCTTGGTCTTTCGCTCCCACACTCTCTTCTATCCCCACTATTACCCTTCACTTCCTTACATCCTCCCGCTGTCAACCCCTGCATTTTTCCTCCCTGCCGGAATCATCATTGGAGGAGGTATTAACCTCCAGGCACGCGCACCCCATTCTCTTCTGTCCTCGTTTTTGTCCGCTCCACTACCCGAATCAGCCCCACAAGCATCTCTTCTGGAGTCTTGAATTGCTTGATCCTCACTTGCAGCCAATGGCATCGATGCCATTCCACCAGTTTCCACCACACCCTCCCCTGCTGCTGCTGCTCCTCCTGCTCGTTCTGCTGCTGTTGCTGCTGGTGCACCTGCTTCTTCTCTTGCTGGGGAAGATTCTCTTGGTGCTGCAGGCTCTGCTGCTGCTCTCCTTTCACTGGCACATCCCTTCTCTGCCTCTCCCCTTGTGCCTTGAACCCGAGCCTCAACCAAAACTCCTTTACCCTCTTTTCCCTTTCCTCCCTCTCCTCCCTCTCCTCCCTCTCCTCCTCTGCTCTTCCTCTCCCTTGACTCTTCATTCACCCTCCCTGTCTTGTGTTGACTGCTGCTGCTGCTGCTGCTGCCGCCTCTGCAGCAGCTGCTGCCGCCGCTACTGTTCCTGCAAATCAAACACAGCAAGCCACACTGAGGGCCGCTGTTACCACCACCGCTGCTACTCCTACTGCTTCTGCTGCTGTTGCTGCTGCTGCAGCAGCCATTTGTTGCTCCGGGAGACATGCTTCCACTTCTATACTTGCGTTCCTCTTCCAAAACACCCGAAGCACCTGAAGCACCACCTGAATCACCCGCCTCCCCCTCGCCCATCGTCTCTCCTCCATCTCCATTCTCCTCCTCATCCTCATTCCCATCAGCAGCACCATCAGCACCAGCAGCATTGGCTGCAGCAGTGGCCGAAGTGACACTTGGGATTGCAAGAGAAACAGAAGCAGAGGCAGCAGAGCAAGCACGTGCAGCACCAGCACTGAACGGACTATCCGTAGCAGAGGGGGGGAGAAGAAGCGGAATGCTGCAAGCAGTAGCACTCAAGCCATGCAGGGGAGGGGGAGTGTGACCGGCTGAGGCATGGGGAGGAGTTTCCTGAGACGAGCTGCTCACACCCCTGAGAAGAGGAGGGGTGCTGCAGGCAGTGGTGCTAAAGCCATGTGGAGGAGGGGGAGTGGAGCCGGCAAAAGAGGTGTTGTGAACCGAAGGGATGCTGCTGCAAGAAGGGGTGAAGGAGTGGGGAGGAGTGTCGTGCGGTGGGGTGAAGACTCCCCGGAGGAGAAGCGGGGTGCTATCGGCGGCAAAGCGGCTAGGAGGGGGTGTGTGGCCGGCAAATAAGGTGTTTTGAAGAGTGGCGCTGCTGCTGGGGGGGAGGCTGGGTGGAGAGCTGTGGGCGCTGGGAGGGTGCGTAGGTGGGGTGCTGCTGCTGGGTAGGTTGGTGTTGGGAGAGGTGGGGGAGGTTTGAGAGGGATGCGAGGTGGTATGAGGGGATGAGGGATTCTTGGTGGGAGATAGGGGAACGGGAGGGGAGAGTTGCTTGGAGGAGTGGAGGCTAGCTGAGAGTGCTGAGAGTGCTGATGGTTGCACCACCACTGTTGAGCTGGAAGACGGATGGAGAGCAATAGACTGATGCTCTATGGCGGAATGTGCTGAGTGAATCTCTGCAGAAGAGTGGAGAGTAGCTGAAGACTGAAGCTCAACGGAAGAAGCAAGGCTGGTGTTGGTGTTGATGCTGTTGCTAGGCTGGTTTGGCTGCAAGGAACCGGATTTGGTGAACTGAGACGCGTGGGTTGAGTCGCTTCGAGGCGTGTGGGAAGCAGAGTCAGCCCAGGGTGCGTTCGAATCTCTGGGCAGGTTGAGAAAAGCCGACCCCCTTCCCTCTTGACTGTGGCCGGCAGTCAAGCCGCTGTGACTGTACCCGCTGTGACTGTAGCCAGTGTTACTTTGACAGCTGTGAGTGTAACCACTGTGACTGTAATTGCTGTGACTGTAACCGCTGGTGCTGTAAGCGCTGACATCACTGGGGAAATAGCCGCTGTTGTTCTCGCACCGACTGTAGCAGCGGCAGTGGCGGGTGTGGCTGTAACGGGGGCAGGTGGAGTGGTGCTGGTGATGCTGGGAGTGACTGGTGAATGCGTAGCAGTGGCACTGGTGTTGGTGCTGGTGGCAGGAGCAGGGTGCTGTGGAGGAGTTGTTTGTCCCAGGAGCAGCACAAGGGGCACCACCAGCAGCAGCCATGCATGACGGGTAGTGGTGTGTGTGTTCCTCTGCCTCGTCTGTGAAACTGAAGGGAGGGGAGGGGGAGAGGGAGAGGGAGAGGAAAAGAGTGGTTAGCAAGCACCAGCACCAGGAACACCAGCAGCAGCCATGCATGCTGTGCAGTGGTGGTGGTGGTGGTGGTGGTGGTGGTGGTGGTGGTGGTGGTGGTGGTGGTGGTGGTGGTGGTGGTGGTGGTGTGGATGTGTGTGTTCCTCTGCCTCGTCTGTGAAGCTGGAGAGGGGGAGAGGGGAGAGGAGGGACAGGGGAGGAAAGGAGATTTGAGACGTCTCACAAGCAGCAGAACCGGCAGCAGCATTCATGCTGTGCAATGGTGGCGGTGTGGATGTGAAAGCCATATTCCTCGGCCTCGCCAGTGAAACTGGAGGGAGAGAGAGGGGAGGGGCAGGGAAGGAAAGGGCAGGGGAAAGAAAACAAGGGAAGGTGAGGGAGAGGTTATGGAATGGTTGTTGTTACTCCCAGCAGCAACGACAGTAGCAGCCAAGAAAGGTGCTAGTTGTGCTTACAGTCCTCTAGCGGCTTGGTGGCAGTGCGGACATATGGGCACGTGGTCATGCACGAAGGCGAGGGAGGAGAGGTGCTTAATAACGCAAGTGCTTATAATGAGAGTTATATTAATAAAAGTGATTAAGATGAAAGCCATGATGATGAAGAAGGCTTGCTTACAGCTAAGGCTCCAATGGCCTGGCGGCAGTGCGGATGGAGGGCACGTGGTCATGCACGAAAAAGGTGAAGGAGGCGACGTGCTTGTAACAGAAGTGATTATAATGAAAGTTAGTATCCTAAAGAGCGTGTGCTTACAGCGAGGGCTCGAGCAACCTGGCAGCAGTGCAGATGGATGGCACGTGGTCATGCACGAAGAATGTGAGGGAGGAGACGTGCTTTTGATAGATGTGGTTGATATTACTCAGAGTGGTCATATGCGTGTGCTTACAGCGAGGGTTCGAGGGGCCTGGCGGCAGTGCGAATAGATAGGACGTGCTCATGCACGAAGGTGAGAGATGCGACGAGGAGGAAGGTGATTCTGACAACTGTGGCGATTATTATTATTATCCAGAGTGATTGATATGAAGAGAGCGTGCTTACAGTGAAGGCTCTAGAGGCCGGGCAGCAGTGCGGATGGAGGGCACGTGGTCATGCACGAAGAAGGTGAGAGAGGCGACGAGGAGGAAGGTGGAGAGCTGCAGCATTAGCAGCCAGTAGGGCTGTAGACCTGGTGGAGGGAGAATGGGGGAGAGTGGGGGAAAGAGGGGATGGGAGGAACAAGAACAGGTGGAGAGAGCTGATGAGGGTTGAACGGGAAGGAGGGAGGTGGAGAGCTGAAGCAGCAGCAGCCCAGCAGGGCTGTAGGCTTGGTGGGAGCAAGAGAGTGGGGGAGGGGAGAATGGGAAGGGGGGAGAAGGGAGGGACAAGGACAGGTGGGAAGGACCAGGAGGAACGCAGCAGAAGAAGCCATGAGACAAGGGAGTGACAAGGAGAGAACGGAATAGAAGAGGACAAGAGGGAACTCGCTTAGAAGCCCCGAAAGTGTTTTTGAGACGTCTCATGGGATGACTGGTGAAAGAGAGGGAAAGAGAAGGCAGGTACCTGGGAAGAGAGGTGTGGGTACCTGGGAAGAGAGGTGTGGGTACCTGGGAAGAGAGGTGTGGGTACCTGGGAAGAGAGGTGTGGGTACCTGGGAAGAGAGGTGTGGGTACCTGGGAAGAGAGGTGTGGGTACCTGGGAAGAGAGGTGTGGGTACCTGGGAAGAGAGGTGTGGGTACCTGGGAAGAGAGGTGTGGGTACCTGGGAAGAGAGGTGTGGGTACCTGGGAAGAGAGGTGTGGGTACCTGGGAAGAGAGGTGTGGGTACCTGGGAAGAGAGGTGTGGGTACCTGGGAAGAGAATGCCAGCTGACGGCATAGGCGAGGGTTGGGGCGTGCATGAGCAATGCACCCTAGCCCTGGCAGCAGCACCTTTTAACGGTGATGCTTAGTGTGGCCCACCTGGGAAGAGAATGCCAGCTGCCGTGTCGTTGCAGATTCCCAGAGGCACGAAGGCGATGGCCTTGGTGACGGCGTGGGCGAGGGTTTGAGCATTCGCGTGAATGAAGAGGTTGGTTGAGCCCACCCGCACTGCTAGCGGCCACTTCCAACTGGCGGAGCAAGAGGCGCGGAAGGCGAGGGGGAGAGGGTATGGGTTGGAAAGGGTTTTGTAGAGAAATCAAGTGGGGGGATGAGAGTCAGGGTGAGCCACATCGCACGGTGATATGTAGCTGCCAACTGGCATATGGTGTTTTCTAGTTGCACATACCATCTCTGTACTCGGCTAGGAGATTATCGTCGTTGAACCAGGTCGTTGGGCGTAGCTCAGTTGGCAGGCTTTCCACGAGATGGTTGTAATCGGCAAGGCCCATGCCGGTGTATGCTGCTGGCGTGAGGGTGGAGTTGATAGTTGACCTTGTTGAGGACAGCTGGTGGTTGAAGACTCCCATGGTTGACTTGTCATTGTGCAACCACAGCAGCTTCATTGCCTCGAGCCCTTGTGCAGACAAGTGGACAGAGAACGCATCGAACACTTCCTCCGGTGCAGGGTAGTACTGTATTTTCTTCGGCGGGTTCAGAAACATGAGCTGAGGGCACACTAAGTAGGCTTTGTGCTGCGCAGGGGTGTAGGGTATACAACACGACATGGGAGAGAGAAACCAGCAGTTATGAGGGTGGCCGCGTGACCAGGGGATGGTGACTAGCAACACTGTGTGAACTTGCCACGTCACACCCTGCGCCATCCGCCACGTCCACCAACAACCCGCCCCACTTGCCACGTCACACCCCCCTACCACAAGCCACGTCACCCCCCACCCACCAGACACGCCTCGCTTCGTCATGCGCCACTCACGTGTACCCTTTCAAACCGCCACGTCATCCCCAACCCTCACCTTCCGCCACGTCACACCCTTCTGCATCCGCCACGTCATCCCCAACCCTCACCTTCCGCCACGTCACCCTCCCCCACCCCAAGCCACGTCACCCCCCACCCACCTAACACGCCTCGCCTCGTCATGCGCCACTCCCTTATACCCTCCAAAACCGCCATGTCATCCCCGACCCGCCCCATTTGGCCCGCCACATACCGGGAATGGGTTTGTCTCATGCAACACTAGCACTCGTGCCTTGTCCACGGCACTCATCGGCGGCATGGTACCTTTCATAGGCACCACTGCAGACCCCCCGGCATAACTGGCAGGTGCTCCACGACGCAGGCCGAGCTGAGCAAACATGACGTACATCTCAGACCGTAGCGCCTGGAGCTCCTCCCGTGTAACAAACTGCTCGTGCTCCGCACTTTCACCTAGGGCACCCAAGAGCGGGGGAAAAGGGTGTAAAGAATCCCCCTTCTGGCCAAGGGGATCAACGTCTTCTGCAGCAGTCCCGTGTGCCCTCACACTATCACGCTGGTGGGAAAAGGGCAGCTCAGGGAAGGGATTGGCAGAAGTGCTTGGCCCTTGCCCGCGCGAAGGACCGGCGAGGGGGGAGACGGCCCTGCCCCAAGACAGGAGAAGCGTGGAGCTGCCGAAATGGGTATGAGGGTGAGGCGAGTGGGGAGTGTGTGACGTGGCTTGGTGGAGGGGATTCGGATTCCTCTCCTCTAGGTGCGCCGGGTGCCCTGGCAGCGACTTTAGACGGGCCGGAGTATGGCGTGTAGAACCTTGGGGCTCCTGTGGATAGCAGGGTAACACTCGCTCTTCCGGCCCCCTTCGTTAGCTGCATCCGTTGCACGCTTACCGGTGGCCCAATGCCTGTAACACGAGGGGCTGGGATTTATAGGGAGCAGGAGCACAAAATTAGAGTTGATTAGTTTCAATACAGGGGCACACATGCTTGCGTACGATCAGCGGTTTGAATCTAAATCGGGTTATAACGGGTACTGTTTTGTAACAAGAGGACTTACCTTGCTTTGCAGATTCGTCGACCTTCTCCTTCCCTGCAGGGGAGAAACAATGTGAAGAAATGTGTTAATCGGCACGGTTGAGCAAAGAGTTCAGTAGCCACGCCATGTGTATGGGCCACAGTGCTTACCTTTCAGCTGTCCCTTCGGTTTTTTTGCTGCCCGCGCCTTCTCGTTGCCACCTTTCCGCAGGGTGCTTTGGCGGCCGCTGCGACGTTTACCGGCTGGTTCTTTGTTGCCGGAACCCACTGGAACCCCTTTGGCGCGGCCGCCCTTTCCTTCACCATCCCCTTTTGATCCCTAGCTCCCTTGCTTCTTACCAACTCCTTCGCTTTCGACCTTCACTTTACGCGTCTTCGGTTTGCCCGCTGCTTCGCCACGCAGGGCGTCACCCGCCCCGCGTTTTCGGGAATGGCGAGTCCGGCCCCCCACCTTCCCTGTACCACTCCCCCGTCTGCCTCGCCCGCCCCGTCCTTTCACTACCGCCACATCCTCTTCCTCCTCCTCCTCCTCCTCCTCCTCCTCTTCCTCCTCCTCCTCCTCCTCCTCCTCATCCTCGTCGTCCCTCTCCTCCTCCTCCTCCTCCTCCTCCTCCTCCTCCTCTTCCTCCTCCTCCTCCTCCTCCTCCTCCTCCTCCTCCTCCTCCTCCTCATCCTCGTCGTCCCTCTCCTCCTCCTCCTCCTCCTCCTCCTCCTCCTCCTCCTCCTCCTCCTCCTCCTCCTCCTCCTCCTCCTCCTCCTCCTCCTCCTCCTCATTCTCGTCGCCCCCCTCCTCGTCCTCTTCGTCCTCTTCGTCCTCCTCGTCATCATTCTCATCTTTTTATTCCTCCCCAACATCCGCGTCCTCCTCCTCCGCATCCTCTTCATCCTCCTCTTCCTCCGCATCCTCCTCCTCATCAGCCTCCTCCTCCTCATCCCCCGCATCCCCCTCATCTTTCTTGCCCCTCCTTCCGCCGGATGTTCTCCTCGCTGCGGGTCGGCCCTTCTTGCGCAATGCATGACCCGTCGCCTTGCCACTTGCTTCCCTGGCGCCTCGCGTTGTCCCAACTTCCGCACCACCGGCGTCGTCAGCACCGCGGCTTGTCTGCCGCCTCTTCGATCGCGTATTGATGTCCTCGGGCACGGCGGTGTCATACTCTTCTTCCCCATCGCTCTTCCTCTGCCTACGCCTCCCACGTCTACCAGAAGGAGGAGAGCCACCTACGTCGGCGATGCTGTGTTCCCCCGCCTTGGCCTTATCCACCACGGCAGCAGAAATTTTGACCACGGTCGGCTGGAGTAGCGTCAGTCCGTGTTGGAATGCCTCCGCCTCGGACTCCTGGGTTGCGCCATGCTCGGCGCGGGGAGAGTCGCCATGGTTTCCCCCTGTCGCCGACCCCTCTCTCTTCGCCGACGGGACTGCAAGACTCACGCTCGCTGTGGCAGTAGTAGCAGTCTTCTCCTTCTCTTCCGCCTTCTTGACGGACTTCTCCTGTCCAAACGCGGCCTTTTTTCCCGCCAATTTTTTCAGCCCTCTGTCACGCGCGGCGGACGCATTAGTACCTTTAGAGCCGCCACCACCCTCCCTATCGGTCTGTTGAGACAGCCTCCATACCGCGCGACGTCCGGCCTGTTCCTCCTCCTTTTCTTTTTGCCGTGTTGCACGTGTCATGGTTGTTTTACGAATGCGAATTTCTACAAAGCATAACGGTGGAGCCGGTTTCGAAGGGGAACCGCAAATGAATGTAACGAAGGGAGAGTCGACAGTCTATTCTGTCATCTCTCTCCGAAAACCTCCGCTTCAATCAATACTGAAATAGTAGTCAGCTGGAGCTACGGCCCATGACTTCGTCGACTGGTGAGTCACGGGCGATCTAGAAACGCCTGTGTCAAACAGCGAGCAGCGTCAAAATTGTGGGCCAGAGGGTGATGGAAGCAGGTGGGTGGGGCAGGAGGGTGGCTGGGGTGGCTTGCGCAACTAGAGAGATTACAGTAATCAGATCAGGCTAGATCGGACGGTGTACGTGTAGCCACCCGATCATAAACCCACCCATCGCTCGATCACAGCCGCTCAATGGCGGAAGTACCGCTTGGCGGGTGCTTGTGTTGTGGGAGGGGTCGTTTGAGATGCGTCGGCCAATCAGTGTCGCCAACGCATAAATGACTTGTCATGCTAGAACTGTTTTTGAACCAATTGAGCGAAAGCAACCTAAACCCTGCAAAGTACAGTGATGTCGCGAACGAACAATGTTGCACATACGAGCTAAATAACATTTAAAACTACAACAAATACAAAAAAAGAAAGAAAAAAAATTGGTTGCTAATGTAATAGTCTGGGGTTGTGGTAAGGTGGTGGGTTTGTATCATGTCACACACACAAAGAGCGTCCACAATTATAACTTCATACAATTTAACTGAGCACTATTAGGCTATGCCACAACGGTTACGCGTCGCTGTACGAAATCTAACATGACGATCACTAGTGCTAAACGAGAAACAGTTGTTGTATGGTGTTGGATTGGGCTCAATTCTTGCATGGACCTTATAAAAGGTGCATAAAGGGAGTGGTATGAAGCACAGGGCTAAAGCACAAGCGGTAATGCGTTATCGACAGCCATGTTTAGACAGAGAGACGCTGCATCGTTCAGGCCCATGTTTTGCGCGACATGGTGAAACCGTTGTGGTATGGTGTTGGATTGGGCTCAATTCTTGCATGGACCTTATACAAGGTGCATAAAGAGAGTAGTATGAAGCACAGGGCTAACGCACAAGCGGTGATGCGTTATCGACAGCCATGTTTAGACAGAGCGACGCTGCATCGTTCAGGCCCATGTTTTGCGCGACATGGTGAAACCGTTGTGGTATGGTGTTGGATTGGGCTCAATTCTTGCATGGACCTTATACAAGGTGCATAAAGGGAGTGGTATGAAGCACAGGGCTAACGCACAAGCGGTGATGCGTTATCGACAGCCATGTTTAGACAGAGCGGCGCTGCATCGTTCAGGCCCATGTTTTGCGCGACATGGTAAAACCGTTGTGGAATGGTGTTGGATTGGGCTCAATTCTTGCGTGGACCTTATATAAGGTGCATAAAGAGAGTGGTATGAAGCACAGGGCTAACGCACAAGCGGTGATGCGTTATCGACAGCCATGTTTAGACAGGGCGACGCTGCATCGTTCAGGCCCATGTTTTGCGCGACATGGTGAAACAGTTGTGGTATGGTGTTGGATTGGGCTCAACTCTTGCATGGACCTTATAAAAGGTGCATAAAGAGAGTGGTATGAAGCACAGGGCTGACGCACAAGCGATGATGTGTTATCGACAGCCATGTTTAGACAGAGCGACGCTGCATCGTTCAGGCCCATGTTTTGCGCGACATGGTGAAACAGTTGTGGGATGGTGTTGGATTGGGCTCAACTCTTGCATGGACCTTATAAAAGGTGCATAAAGAGAGTGGTATGAAGCACAGGGCTGACGCACAAGCGATGATGTGTTATCGACAGCCATGTTTAGACAGAGCGACGCTGCATCGTTCAGGCCCATGTTTTGCGCGACATGGTGAAACCGTTGTGGTATGGTGTTGGATTGGGCTCAATTCTTGCATGGACCTTATAAAAGGTGCATAAAGGGAGTGGTATGAAGCACAGGGCTAACGCACAAGCGGTGATGCGTTATCGACAGCCATGTTTAGACAGAGCGGCGGTGCATCGTTCAGGCCCATGTTTTGCGCGACATGGTGAAACCGTTGTCGTATGGTGTTGGATTGGGCTCAATTCTTGCATGGACCTTATACAAGGTGCATAAATGGAGTGGTATGAAGCACAGGGCTAACGCACAAGCGGTGATGCGTTATCGACAGCCATGTTTAGACAGGGCGACGCTGCATCGTTCAGGCCCATGTTTTGCGCGACATGGTGAAACCGTTGTGGTATTGCATCCGACGACGAAACCGTTGTATTATTGTATTAGATTGGGCTCCATTCGTGCATGTTAATGCAGCACGGTGCTTTGATGTCCCCAAAACCTCTTGTGAAGTGACGATATACATATTCGGTACATGCAACAATCTTACGGAAACATACAGAGTTCATGGGTAATACCGATTGTTTCCATACCACACTAGAGAACTAGGAGGGTTTACAAACACTACCGTTGTCAATTAGGGGTTGTTTTTTTGCAGGCCCATAAGTATGTTTGTATAATACTTATTATAATTGAATCGGGTGTCTATGTAAAATGTAACTATACATTGTCATTACCTGGTTTGGATGAAGTCTCTAGAGGTGCGCACCACTTTGGGCTCACCTACGTGATTGCGATTTCCCCCCTATAGCACCAAACGGATCTCGTCCCTCTCTTCCTCATCCCACTTGACTCTCACGCACGATTCAAAAACCCAAGTTTTGAATCAAGAGGCACGTACTTCTCACCGTGCTCGCGACACACACTCACGACCAAGCGTGCTAAACTCCAGTGCATATGGCCCTGCTCACGTCGTGGTCGCTCTAAGAGGGGCCGACACGCCTTGTAGGAAAGGGAAATGCCGTGTTGTTGGCGGTCTGTATCGTGCCTTTTCACGGCCGCGCTGCTCGACCATCGTTAGCCAGTCCCTAACCATCGCGCCACGCTCAAGTGCCAGTCGTGCAGAGATACAAGCCGCCATGGAGAGTTCGCGCTTTGGCGATGACCATGTTGCAGTCACAGCCTTCGTTGACGGTGTATTTGATGCGTTCACAAACTTCAAACAGGCTAGTTGCTTCATAGGCCATTTCTCCTCTCTTAAACGGATCCGTAACACATGGGCTCTTTGCCAGGCGTTGTCTGCGAGTTCTGCAACAGATGGTTCCCCAACGCCTAGTTTATTGCGGTCATAAGTCACGGCAGACCCCTTGTCACGACATTCTGTCGGACGCTCGCGCTGCTCCCGCTTCACCTACCGCGTCTAACGCATCCAACACCGTCAGTGTGAGCGGTCCTCCTCGCGTGCCTGAAGCTGACAAGGACGAAACACCCTGGGCTGTTAACGAGGGGGCTCCGGAAGATGAACATCAACCGCCACCAGGAACACCTGCAGCTGACACGAGTGAGCATCCTGAGAGCCAGCCTGAAGGGAGTCAAGCCTCACCGCCTGCAACCATCTCCGGACAGAGCGATGCCACGCCCCTCAATCCGCTCGCGTTTAAGCTGCTTCGTTTCGTTCGGCGCGTGAATGGCGGAATGGGAATGGCAGAGGTTGACATCAATGGCTTGCTTCAGCTCGTGGTAGAGCCCGGGTTGCGCCTCTTGTGACCTCGGAGCTCCGGAACTGCAAGGATCTGGAGCGGTTTGAGATGGAGTGCTTGGCAGGGCTCAATCGCGGATGGTCGGTGGCAACATTCGAGATTGACGGTCATCCGCCTCAGCGCCTGCTATTCCAAAACTCAGCTCCGGTAAGCCGACTCTGAATCCTTGGCAGTGAAATGCTGATGTGGCAACCTTGTGGTGCTTGTATGAAGTTATATTCGTTCTCCTTGAATGAGATCGGACCCACCAATCAACGCATCTAACCATGCCCCTCTTCTCTACTGCCTTCGCCACCGTAAACCAGGCATTCGCTGAACTATTTGGGCATACCAACAACGCGCCCGGCTTCAAGCTCAAGGCGCGGGTCGATGAGGACCCTGACACAGGCAACCGTCGCTATACCACGCCGGAAACAGGAACGTAGTGGAATGATGCTCAGGTATGGATATACCCCGTTGCCACCCAAAACCAGATCCGTGCTCATGCCTCCGTTGCTGCGTTGATGTGTCTGGTGCATGATGAGTGTGTCATGTTCGATGAACATGCTATGAAGGTCGTTTAACCCACCTGGCGACCAGTTACCTTGGTGATGTTTGACCGTGTGTCCGTTGCCGCTTTGTCGTGCATTGCAGGAACACTTAGGATGGACCCAAGTCGTGGGGGGTATCATCCTATATTCGGATGTGACGCACATGAGCAACAACGGCCGGAAGAAGGCGTGGCCGCTCATGATGATGCTTGCCAACATCTCCTAGGCCAAACGATGGGGGAAAGCCGGCCACACGCTACTTGCCCTCCTTCCTATCCCCCCTTCTGCAATGTCTGCCGTGGAGAAGGTGATGCTCTTCCAGCGATGCGTCACCACTGTGCTGCAGCCGCTTCTCAATGGCATGGAAAGGTCCGTACCCGGTGTTGCATTTGCTATGTCGTCACCCAATCACCTGCATAGTATGCAGGGCGTCACGATATGTAGCAGTCCCCTTTGCCCCTCTTCGTACATGCACAAATCATGTCCTCCCAATTCCTAATGCCACTCTACCTATTCCTTGTAGCGGGTTCCGTCTTAGGGACCCTTTCGGTGATTGGCAAACCGTGCGGCCCCTGCTGTACGCCTGGGTGTGCGACTACCCCGAGAGCGGCAAGATCAGTTGCACACTCTCGCATGGATCGCGGATGCCGTGCAGCATCTGCTATGCTGCAAAGGTGAGCTTTCATGCCAAAGACATTGTCGTTTGAATGTCGCCTTATACAACCTATGAACTCACCACCCTTACCTTTGTATCCCATCCCACACCCCTGTGCGACAACAGGAGCATCAAGTTGCTGTCAAGGCACGGAACACGCCGCGCACGCCTGAACAGCAGCAATGGATCGTTAACGAGGCGGCT